GAAGTATATTAAAAAATATGTGTCCATTTTATATATACATCTACATAATTGGTCTGCAATATCCCTTTTTATAACATTATTATACCCTTTTATGTCCGGTAAAGATGTATGCATAAGCATAACCAAAATCAAAAGGAAACAAGCAGCAAAGAGCGGCAGTTATACACAAAAAAAGCAACAACAATGCCAGTCCAGGGCACCTTTTATGCCGTCCTAAAACAATCTCATTCCCTTATTGCTAGTTGTCCTAAAATGTGTTTGCTTTGTTCGTGCTGGTGTTGTTGCTGTTGTTTTCCTTGTTGTTATCCATTATTCAAAGCACAATGTCACAATAAACGTGAAAGGTGCAAAATGTTGCCCCAAAACAGCAGCAACGGCAGTAGTAACAATAACAACAATAACAGCAATAGCTCTCTCTCTCTCTCTCTCTCTCTCTCTCTCTCTCTCTCTCTCTCTCTCTCTCTCTTTCTCTCTCTAATACACACTCTCCAAATCTAGCTCTCTCACCTTTCCATAAAAAGTTTGGTATGAGCAACAAGCGAACTCTTCTAACGGATCTGCGCTCACGCTGCACTTGACAGAACCCCTCGCATTGCATTTCCTCTACTCATTTCCTCTAACCTTCTCCAGCAACAACAATTGCCCGTTGGCAACTTTAGACATTTCGCATCGTTGCAAAACACTAACAACGTCATTGACGTCAATTTTTGAGTGCTTATGACTAATTATGGATTGACTAATCATGGATTATGGATCAATAGGCCCGAGAAACTCTAACTGAGCATAAAGCCAAAACCCAGAGCATTAATCGGAAGTGCTTCGCCGAGAAATACACTACAGGCCCAGCCAATGTATGGGCTGGAGCATACTAAAAACCTCCATGTTTACGTAAGTGTATTAAACCAACCGTACTCACACATGAATACACACATAAGGACTCACACCCATTAAATTTGTACTTAGATATATATATAATATGTTAATCGCCCTAAAAGAAATATATGTATATATGAAGAGGAACAGAATGCCGTCTGTGTCAAACCTCAAACTCTACCTCCCACTGCTTATGCTTCTTAAAACCTCACGAATCCAATAACTTGTTGTGGGGTTATAAATCCCGAGTTAAGCTTACTAATTCTTATAGAATTCAATTGAGATCGATTTATACAGTTCGAAAAGAAAAGCACGCATTTGAATGAATTTTTGCAGATCTATAAGCAAAATGAGAAAATCTGGCAACGACTCTACTCGATTACTACTGTAATTATTACTATAAATATATCATTTTATTTTATATTTAAACTAACCATCGCAACTTTATATTACATTGGGGACTTCTACATTAAATATAGAGATTTTCTATGCTTCGAATTTCTATAGTATGATCGCGGTGTTCAGGGCTTGAGACCCAATGAACTACCTACCATCCCTGACTTTAGCTGTGATAGCATTGAAGATGTGATTGTTATTTAGGCAGTTTGACTTGCCTTCACTCTAGAGTGGCCTGCAGCAAACAGTTTGTCACACTTAGATATGCATTGGAAGTTGTCCGTCCTTTGCTATATTTTAACGCACTTGAAGCCCTATCGTATAGAGCTTGTGGACCTTTTAAACTCGAGGCACACATGTGTCGAATATTCTCTTTTTGGGCAAATGTCACAAATGACACTTGGCGCCGTTTGTTAGCTCAGCGTCTTCCACTTCATGAGGGACAAAACAGAAGTGGAGGCAGCGAGGGAGAGCGATAAGAAAAGCTAATGCAAATAACAAAAATAGCCGCAGAAGAGCTGTGCGCTCACTTGTCGCAGTCTCTCTAGCATGTTCTCCGCACTCCTCTCTCTCTCTCTTTCTATCGCACACGCACCTCTTTAATTATAGCCATGCTACATATTTGGTATGTGCGCCGACGAGGCGGAAGTTTGTTTAGGATACACGAGTATTTAGCCAAGCAGCTGCACACAGCGGTCTCTTTGGCTATGCCTACACCAGCCTCACCTTCCGCCTTTGCACGCTCACCAACTATCCCATTCCTTCTCTCTCTCCCAGTCTCTGTCTCGCTCAACAAATTGCATTAGTTGTTGTCGCGTCTAGACACTTGCCGGCATATTCTGCCACAGCTCTTCCCCACTGTAAATTATTCAAATGAAGCACTTGCCACGGCATGCCACATACGCGTTGCTGTGGCACTTGCAGCTGGAGCTGCAGTTGATGTCGCATTAATCGACTCTCAACTATGGCAACTTACCTCTCGCTGCACGCAGTGAATTATATTTAGTACGATTAGCCACGACACGATACAGACAATTTTTCAATAGATCGTCAAATTTTCTTTCTACCTTTCTTAGTGTGATTTTATTTGATGAGCAGCTCGCATTCAGTCACATATGTATATATGTATTAAAATCCGTTATGATATGTTCTTATAATGCTGTAAAAATAAGAGAAAACGAGTTTATTAGTTGATGATGTATGATCTGCATGTATTTATGTAGGTATTTAACTGTTTGACCAATACTCAAAATTTAATTATTATTATGTACTTCATAACTTACATTTCTCCCTAGAAATAGTTAAGCAAGACTGGCATAGAACCATTATATGTGGATATCATAGAGGTATTTGGCATTTCCAATTCACTTGCAAAAAACTGACTTGGCATCTCGACCGTCGACGCTTCCTGAATATTTTTGCAGCCAAAAATGGAAACAAAACGCGCCACAAAACTTTAGACACGCAATAAAAAGCCGCACAAAAATCAAAAACCAACGCGAAAAGTTGCAGCAGACCAGGTCCACATAGGGATGAACCGAAGAGCAACCCACCGCACACCGCCCACCGCACACCGCCCACCACCCACCACCCACCAGCCGCCATTCAGCCATTGCTGTCTGAGCTTATGGGCTTGTCATTGGGGGTGGCTCTGGGTCTGGCTTTGACTCTGGCTTTGGTATGCAGGCGGCAAGTCACCAGCGGCAGTGACAGATATAAAGAAAGAGATAGAGAGAGAGAGAGACAGAGAGAGAGAGCGAAACGGAAAGAGAGAGAGAGGAGGAGTCCTTGTGTCTCGTCTGGCAACGCAGACGCTGCAGACAGTTTTCTAATGGGATAAACTAAATACGTTTTTGTGTGTATGAAGGTATTGTGTATATTTATGTCTATTCACATTCTATACAGCTTTGCGTAAAACTCACACAATACCAATATTGACCAAGTATAAAAAGTCTACACTTATAATTCATAAATTATTTATAAACAATACTGCATACTTTTCGAGCTCGTTCACTGAATAGCAAATACTGAAAAATTCTTACACACAAACATATACAGATGAAATTGACATTATTGCGGGTAGTCAGAACGGGACTTCGTAACAGAGACGGCGCCAACCTGCAGTAGGAGAGCGGAAAGGGAGCTGTGGCGAATTTTCGGCGGTCGCTTTGTTGTGCCGGCGAATATGTAGCGGAAAACCGGAATGCCAAAACAAAATTGCGTATTTTTGATTCGTTCACTTACCGGCAAAAAGTTGCCGCATCGAAGACGGCGAAAGTAATGACGATTTGACCCGTTAGTTGCGACTGTTTTTGGTATTTTTTTTTTTTTTTTCTTTTATTGTTAAGCTAATCACTTGACATTATTAAATATAAATATTTAGTTATTGTTGCCACAGAGGGCATTCACTAAATGACACCCACACGCACACACACACAATTTGAATAACACGTCCACAAACAGATCTGTTATACGTATGCCGCGTTACGTCCTTGCACACCAACAGTAAGGAAACATTTGAAATGATTTTAATATGGTACTCGGCCAATATACTCAAAACGATTTTACAGAATGTTAAACTCAATTGAGCTGTTAAGTTGCATAGGTAAATATATAAACGGTCACACTGGCGCACAGCTGTTAGACTAGCAATTTTGATCGATTAACAAACCTTTCAATTGTATGTATATCGCATAACCGCCACAATGGCGAGTTCCCTGGTTAACAATTGAAAGGTTTAACAAATGATTTTTTACTGCATTTGAACTGCAGTAAATTAAGGCAATTAATTGCAGCAGTCGACACTTGATTAACAATATGGTTGAGCTACAACTGCGAAAACGCAACGCTTGCGTCATTGTGCTGGGCGATATCGGACGCAGTCCACGTATGCAATACCACGCTCAGAGCCTCCTTGAAGATAATTACAATGTGGACATAATTGGATATATTGAGACGCAACCGCTGGATGCGCTAACTGTAGCACAACCCAAGTGCAAAATACACGAACTCTCTGCGGTCCCTATCACAAACCTAACACCCAAATTGCAGCTGCTCTTCAAAGCCATTTGGCAAACGTTAAGTCTGTTGATGGCCCTAATCTCGATAAGGCGACCCAATTTCTTGCTTGTGCAGAATCCACCCGGCATACCCACGTTGATTGTTTGTTACTTGTACTGCGCCTTGACGCGAACTAAGTTAGCCATTGATTGGCATAATTACACCTACACTATCTTAGCGTTGGGCATGGCCGGAGGAGAGCAGAACCGGCTCATCCGTCTCACCAGGCGACTGGAACGTTATTTTGGCAGTAAGGCTCATACACACTTTTGTGTAACTAATGCCATGAAGGACGACCTGCAACGCAACTGGAATATAAGGTGAGCGAGAGAAATGTCACTGTCCATGGCAGCTATGCAATTTTAAAATTGCATTAAAGTCGGGACTTAAACTTATAATTGTTGATTTACTGTGTTTGCAGGCCCGTACATGTGCTCTATGATCGAGCGCCTGCGCAATTCCATCCCATAGAACTCCCTCAAAAGCACGAGCTATTCATGAAGCTTTCCAAAGATTATGCGCCTTTCATGGCGCAATGCTATGCGGATCTGACGCAATCGGGCATGCTCGAGTCAACTTCACTTACTCAGAAGCTGGCCAATGGAACGGTGCTCTATAAGCCACAGAGGCAAGCAATACTTGTGTCGAGCACCAGCTGGACGCCGGATGAAGACTTTGGCATACTCCTGAAAGCCTTGGAGTCCTATGAATGCGTGGCTACAGCCGAGCCACATGTCTATCCGTCTTTGCTGTGCATCATTACCGGCAAAGGCCCACAAAAGTCGCAATACGAGGCTCAAATAGCAAAATTACAATGGCGAAAAGTTTCGATTCTAACGCCCTGGCTGGAGGCTGAGGATTATGCGAGATTGCTGGCTAGCGCGGATCTTGGCGTATCCTTACATTGGAGCACAAGCGGGCTGGATTTGCCCATGAAAGTGGTTGATATGTTTGGCTGTGGGCTGCCCGTCTGCGCCTACAACTTCAAATGGTGAGCAAGTCGGAAATAACAATCCAATAGATTAAATCTATCTAATGCATCCCTTCAGCCTTCCAGAGCTAGTGAAGCACGGCGAGAACGGATTTGTGTTCAACGATCATTCGGAGCTGGCCGAGCAACTGCGGCTGTGGTTCGAGCACTTCCCTACCAATCCAAGCATCATCGAGACCCGCTCACGCTTCAAGCGCAGCCTACAACAGTTCCAGGACTTGCGCTGGCGGGAAAATTGGAAGCAATGCGCGGCACCTGTACTGGAAGCATTTCTTTAAGCATTTACGAATCGAGAAAGCTTTTAATAAATCTTGTCTGAGCAGTACAAAGAGGCACTTGAATTAATCTGCCGAAATTGTATTTTATGCGTCTGTTAAAATGTAGATGTTATATTATCAACGATTGAATTACTTGCGCAAGCCATTGATACGACACTATCGGTAGAATCAATGTACTCTATATACTAATCTATAAATTTATCGAATCTTAGCATATATATTGCTCATCTAACCGATTTTTGTATATTAGTGAATTTATGAAGCTCATGCGGTAAAGCCCATATTTTAAATATCGACATTAGTTTTGCGATCAAAGCAAATTATCATCATACACTCGGCACAAAACATATATATATATAACTATGTTTGTGCCATTATCAGCTGCATTTTATATTGCTCTAGTTTACACTGCATGCACTCAGCTCGAGATGCATAACAAAATGCGCTTACATGTTACGAAAGCAAATGGGACAAGTCTTATAATTGTTTTTCTTATACTCCTGTAGGCATAGTGTGTGAAGTGCATGCTCGCATCGTAAGTACGACATTGTCGGCAATTCCATGGGCTCACAACAGATCGAGCAATTGTCGCCGGGCTGATCGATGCGTATCACGATTTTTTCACAATATGGGCAATTGCGACGCCATTCGCGGTAGTCGTAAAAGCAAGGAAGTTTGCACAGCGCATGACCACAACGCATTTTATGCATCGACACTTCGGTCATTTCTTCATGGCAGATAAGACACTTGTCGCCTGACTTGCTAAGAGAAATAAAACATATATATAAATATATTTATATATATAGGAGTAGCATAATATGCATATGTATGTATATATACTCACCTTTCACGAAACTGTCGCTTTTTGCTATTATTAAATCTGCGATCGTTATTATCATCTTTCCAGCTTCCTCCACTCGAGTGAGGTCGTTCCTGCACCTGCTGACTATAATAAATTGCAGCGACTGCAGCCACAATTACGCAGCCTATGCCAAAAACTAGTTGCATTGGTATCATAATTACTACATATGCTCCTTCAATCACAGTTTAAAATATGTATACACACAGTTTAAAATATGTATATTTATAAAAAAAAAAAAAAAGAGTGGCTTAACTTGGCCAAAATTCCCCTTAAATTATTATTATATTGTTTGGCATTCACTTTATCCGCTTACATGAACTGCCATACCGATCAGGTTAAGCCAGTGCTGCCATTCAAAAACAAAAATATACTCTTATCAAGCGAGAGCGACAAGCTGTAATGAGTAGTTACGAATATATATTTATTGTCAACATTAGATCTCTAAACAGAAATATTTTGTACACCTTCTTAGAGTATCCAATAGTTTTCATGTCTGCGAAGAAAGTATGGTATTTTTGCTCACTCCGTGTTTTTCGTATTTTACGGTGCTGTCACACTTTTCAAGCGCTATACATTTTAGAATATTTCGGCTGCGTGACGAACAAAGCTTATTCTTCTTTAATTGTTTTTTAAAAAGTAGTCTTACTAATCAAAGTGGCATCAGATTTGGACATGAGAATAGTGACGAAATTGTGGTAACCTAACAATTTGGTATTTTTACATAGCCGGCACGTCGGTCACACAGCATTGTATTTAATACTATGATTTTTCTCTGCTCAGAACTTATTTAAATTGTTATTGCGAATGCACTACATTAGCAATCAACTATAATTGGTGTGGATAACAGACGGGCAAGCATTTCAATCGCACCAAATAGCGTGCGATATTGATTTACGTACAACCATCGAGAATTTGTCTACGCCTCTGCCCCTTGCAATAGCCAGTTGAACGATTTTTTCTGGTGAAATTAAGTTATAGTTTTCCGATAAGGCAACGAGGAACGTAAAGCATGGCGGAACGGGAGCGCAGCATACATGAAATGCTCAAGGACACACCATCCATGAACGATAGCTGCGGTGCCGTCCACACAGGCACAGAGGGTGGTAGTCTAGGAATGGGAATCGGAATGGGAATGGGGGTGAGCGGCAGTAATAGCAGTCATAGCATTGGCACAGGAAACCCGTTAAGCATGTCCACCAGTTTGCCTATGCGAAACCATTCAGGTGCGTCACCCAACTATGCAACAATCAATGAACCAAGGAAACAAGTTTTGTGTTCTCCTTTGCAGCACCCACCACTCCAATGTCTCCAAGTCCACACACAACCAATGGCTTTCTAACCTCGGCAGACGGCAGCAGTAGCCTGATAAGAACAAGCGCCTCGAAGATTGACAGCCTCAAGAACTGGAGCATATCAACGTACAAATGCACACGGCAAATAATGCTTGAGAAGTTGGGTAAATCGCAGCGTACCGTCGACTCAGAACTGGAGGCACAAATCGAACAGTTGCGTGAAACACAACGGAAATATTTATCTATTTTACGTTTGACGCGTGCGTTTAGCTCACACTTTCAACACGTTGTCGCCTCGCAGCAATCGCTAGCCGATGCCTTCGCTGATCTGGCGCAGAAAAACCCCGAGCTGCAGAAGGAGTTCATCTGCAACTCGGAAACGCAACGAAATTTAACCAAAAATGGCGAACTGCTATTAAATGCATTAAACTTTTTCATTTCATCGGTGAATACGTTGTGCAATAAGACCATAGACGATACTCTGCTAACTATTCGACAATACGAGACGGCTAGGTAAACCACAATATAGCTTATAGCTCATATACGAACAAACAAACCGATTTATTTTGTATATTCAGAATTGAATTCGATGCCTATCGCATGGACTTGGAGAACAGCAAGCCTGAATTAACGCAGGCCGCGTCTTCGCTGGAGGAAGCGCAACGCAGCTTTGCACATCACAAAGATCAATACGAAAAGCTGCGAGGTGATGTTGCCGTTAAAATGCAATTTCTCGACGAGAATCGCGTGAGTTTTGATTAGTCTAGAAATAATATATGGTCTATAAACTTTCCCTACCCTGCAGATAAAAGTGATGCACAAGCAGCTCATATTGCTGCACAATGCAATTGCCGCTTATTTCTCGGGTAATGCCATGGCACTGGAGAGCACGTTAAAGCAGTTCAACATAAAGGTGAAATTCTCCTTTCAATAGTAGCGAGACCCGCCTTAACTTCTGATACTGTTTACAGCTTAAATCACCGAATAGCGTCACAGGCTCATGGCTGGAACAATAGGCTTCGCAATTCATCAAAGTCGAGCCAAAGTACTAACTCGGTTCTACACACAATTTTACA